GGCTAGGCCACTCCAGGACCTTGAAATGCTTCTTACGAAGCCACTCCTTCGTTGCCCGGGTGGTGTGTTTGGGATCATTGTCATGCTGAAAGACCCAGCCATGTTTAATCTTCAATGCCCTTGCTGATGGAAGGAGGTTTTCACTCAAAATCTCACGATACATGGCCCCATTCATTCTTTCCTTTACACGGATCAGTCGTCCTGGTCCCTTTGCAGAAAAACAGCCCCAAGGCATGATGTTTCCACCCCCATGCTTCACAGTAGGTATGGTGTTCTTTGGATGCAACTCAGCATTCTTTGTCCTCCAAACACGACGAGTTGAGTTTTTACCAAAAAGTTCTATTTTGGTTTCATCTGACCATATGACATTCTCCCAATCCTCTTCTGGATCATCCAAATGCACTCTAGCAAACTTCAGACGGGCCTGGACATGTACTGGCTTAAGCAGGGGGACACGTCTGGCACTGCAGGATTTGAGTCCCTGGCGGCGTAGTGTGTTACTGATGGTAGGCTTTGTTACTTTGGTCCCAGCTCTCTGCAGGTCATTCACTAGGTCCTCCCGTGTGGTTCTGGGATTTTTGCTCACCGTTCTTGTGATCATTTTGACCCCACGGGGTGAGATCTTGCGTGGAGCCCCAGATCGAGGGAGATTATCAGTGGTCTTGTATGTCTTCCATTTCCTAATAATTGCTCCCATAGTTGATTTCTTCAAACCAAGCTGCTTACCTATTGCAGATGCAGTCTTCCCAGCCTGGTGCAGGTCTACAATTTTGTTTCTAGTGTCCTTTGACAGCTCTTTGGTCTTGGCCATTTTGTCTGTCATAGTTGACGTGTACCTATGATGAAAATTACAGGCCTCTCTCATCTTTTTAAGTGGGAGAACTTGCACAATTGGTGGCTGACTAAATACTTTTTTCCCCCACTGTATCTCCCCCTTTCACTATGACGCAGTAGCTTTCGCTTCCCCACCCGCCATTTTTAAAAAGACCCGGCGGAGCTCCATTGCCTTCTTCAATCATGCAGAGACGGGCAGCATGAAGGTCTCGTCATTGATTTTGCTGGAAAAGGGAGAAATTGTGCTTTACAATGGTATTCATATTACAGTTGACCTGGAAGTATGACATTTTTGGGGCGCCAAATTAAGGTCAAATGTACGGAACAGCGCAATGTACAAAAGTGCGTTAGCTAACGTTAGCTGCTAATGTTGCGCAGCAACCGGGTTGCTCAACCCGGTTTTAGAACTCGGAGATTCGGCTGAAAATATGTTAGCATTGTCAGAAAAGCTAGAAAAAGGTAACATCAATGGTTCTTATTGGACAGAAATTTGCACGTGAGAGCGATAAAATAAAATTGTGAATTTAATAAAAACGGTTGCACCTATAAAACTTATTTAGTCCAAATGTATCTAAGTCTAATGGTCACCTTATGGACGCTGTAGTCTCGTTTTAATCCGACTTCTAGAATTTGAGCTAGGTTTGGCCAAAAAATTGTCTGACGACCCTAATCCTAACGACCCTGTCAAAAGTCAATGTCTGGTATATTGGTTCTTGGTAACGGCCGGACGGATAATTTGTATTTGTATTTGTATTTATTAAGGATCCCCATTAGCTGACGAGAGGCGGGGAGTGTGTTGCGTACCTCCAATCAAGTTGATTGGGAAATGTATATTGAGATTGGTGTCACAATGGCTTAGATATGATGGTAGATTTTAATTTGACATTAAGCTTCGACCAATGCCTACTATAGCTGCACCAACTGGCGCGACTATATTAAACTATCCTCAATGGATAAGATAAAAATCCATGCCTCCTGCCGAAAAGCCTTTAAGCCTACATTTACACATGTTGCCTTATGCTCATGGAACGAGAGATGCGATTTTATGATATCATGCTTCTGGCCTGATCCTATTTAGAAATATTGTTGTTGTTTTGATTGTTTTTTGTTTAATTTGATTTTAAACTTATTAGAAAGATTCACCGTCCATGGATTTATGTTGAAAACGTACATGGCTTGAATGCAATGCAATTTTAAATCAAATCACCACCATGCTTCATCGTAGGGATGGTGCCAGGATTTCCTCCAGACGTGGCGCTTGGCATTCAGTCCAAAGAGTTCAATCTTGGTTTCATCAGACCAGAGAATCTTGCTTCTCATGGTCTGAGAGTCTTTAGGTGCCTTTTGGCAAACTCCAAGCGGGCTGTCATGTGCCTTTTACTGAGGAGTGGCTTCCGTCTGGTCACTCTACCATAAAGGCCTGATTGGTGGAGTGTTGCAGAGATGGTTGTCCTTCTGGAAGGTTCTCCCATCTCCACAGAGCAACTCTAGAGCTCTGTCAGAATGATCATTGGGTTCTTGGTCGCCTTCCTGACCAAGGCCCTTCTCCCCCGATTGCACAGTTTGGCCGGGTCGGCCAAGCTCTAGGAAGAGTCTTGGTGGTTGCAAACTTCTTCCATTTAAGAATGATGGAGGCCACTGTATTCTTGGGGACCTTTTTTGGTACCCTTCCCCAGATCTGTGCCTCGACACAATCCTGTCTCAAAGCTCTAGGGACAATTCCTTCGACCTCATGGCTTGGTTTTTGCTCTGACATGCACTGTCAACTGTGGGACCTTATATAGACAGGTGTTTGCCTTTCCAAATCATGTCCAATCAATTGAATATACTACAGGTGGACTCCAATCAAGTTGTATAAACATCTCAAGGATGATCAATGGAAACAGGATGCATCTGAGCTCTATTTTGAGTCTCAAAGCAAAGGGTCTGAATACTTATGTTAATAAGCTATTTCTGTTTTTTATTTGTAATAAATATGCAAAAATGTCTAAAAACCTGTTTTCGCTTTGTCATTATGGGGTATTGTGTGTAGATTGCTGAGGATTTTTACAAATATTTAATCCATTTTAGAGTAAGTCGGTAACGTAACAAAATGTGGAAAAAGGCAAGGGGTCTGAATACTTTCCAAAGGCACTGTATTTAGCAAATATGGGGCAGAATTTAACGAACTAGGCTATAACGGACTAACATACAAATTGGAGTTGATGACAACACAATACATAAAAGACCGTAAATACACAACTCGAAGCCACCACATATTTAGCCATGGAGCACGTTCTGATTGGCAAGTGAGGTGTCAGGCATCGACAGACCCACAACTTGTTTATTCATCAAAACCCAGTCCTTTCGCGCCACCGCCAGCTACTGCGCCCATAATTCAGATTTTGAAAATATCTAAAATATTTCTGACACACCCCCGAACCTATAGCACTACCGCCAAGGCTAAGATTTACCATTGCGTTAGGTTTGTTAAAATAGAGCCCATGGTCTTGAGTGTTTATACACAGAATACACCACAGTTACACCATATTCATCATCAGATTGCTCATCACTGTAAGGAATACGTTTTTCTAAATTGATTTACCTGTGCCTTCAGAAAGTATTCACACCCCTGGACTTTTTCCACATTTTCTTGTGTTACAGCCTGAATTAAAAATTAAAAAAATTGTCACTGGCCTACACACAATACCCCATAATGTCAAAGTGGAATTATGTTTTTAGAAATGTGTACAAATTAATTAATTAAATGAAAAGCTGAAATGTCTTGAGTCAATTAGTATTCAACCCATTTTGTTATGGCAAGCCTAAATAGGTTCAGGAGTAAAAATGTGCTTAACAAGTCACATAATAAGTGGCATGGACTCACTGGGTGTGCAATAATAGTTTTAATATGATTTTTGAATGACTACCTCATCTCTGTACCTCACACATACAATTATCTTTAAGGTCCCTCAGTCAAGCAGTGAATTTCAAACACAGATTCAACCACAAAGACCAGGGAGGTCTTCCAGTTCCTCGCAAGGAAGGGCACCTATTGGTAGACGGGTAAAAAAAAAGTAGACATTGAATATCCCTTTGAGCATGGTGAAGTTATTAATTACACTTTGAATGGTTGTATCAATACACCCAGTCACTACAAAGATACAGGTGTCCTTCCTAACTCAGTTGCCGGAGAGGAAGGAAAGCGCTCATGGATTTCACAATGAGGCCAATGGTGACTTTAAAACAGTTACCGAGTTTGAATGGCTGTGATAGGAGAAAACTGTGTATGGATCAACAACATTGTAGTTAGTCCACAATACTAACCTAATTGACAGAGTGAAAAGAAGGAAGCCTGTACAGAATATAAATATTCCAAAACATGCATCCTGTTTGCAACAAGGCACTAAAGTAATACTGCAATAAATGTGGCAAAGCAATTCACTTTTTGTCCTAAATACAAAGTGTATAAAAAAAATTAACGGATTGGAGCTAAGCAAAATCCTAGAGGAAAATCTGGTTGTCTGCTTTCCACCAGACACTGGGAGATGAATTCACATTTCAGCAGAACAATAACCTAAAACACAAGGCCAAATCTACACTGGAGTTGCTTACCAAGAAGACAGTGAATGTTCTTGAGTGGCCGAGTTACAGTTAAATCTACTTGAAAATCTATGGCAAGACCTGAAAATGGTTGTCTAGCAATGATCAACAACCAATTTGACAGAGCTTGAAGAATTTTGAAAAGAATAATGGGCAAATGCTGCAAAATCCAGGCGTGGAAAGCTCTTAGAGACTTACACAGAAAGACTCACAGCTGTAATTGCTGCTAAAGGTGCTTCTACAAAGTATTCACTCAGGGGTGTGAATTATATATTTCTGTATTTCATTTTCAATAAATGAGCAAACATTTACTTCGTCATTATGAGGTATTGTGTCTAGATGGGTGATAGAAAAAAATCGATTTAATCTATTTTGAATTCAGGCTGTAACAAAACAAAATGTGGAATAAGTCAAGGGGTATAAATACTTTCTGAAGGCACTGTAAATTGTAATTTTTTTAACAATACTATTGTCACTTACAGCACACAGTTCACAAAACCCTCTAAATGATGCACAGTGTACAAAACACACACACACACACACACACACACACACACACACACATCAACCCCAACACGTCAGAAAATTCTCAACCTCCTGATTCTCAATCTCCTCCCTCATTCCGTCTATCTCTCTGTTATCCACAACAATCCCAACAGATTGAGTACAAGAAGAACTCCAAGGAGAACCAGTCCCAGTTCAGCATGTCGATGGGCGTGCTCAACCTGAGCCATGCTAAAAAAGCCCAGGCCCTTGCCAGCGACCTGGACTACAGGACGAAGCTCCACCACTACACCATCCTATCCGACGACATCCAAGTACAGCAGGCCAAAAAGGCGTATAACCTGCAGAGCGAGGTGAGGCAGAGATTGGTGGGCCATGGGGTGGGCCACTGGTGTTGGTGGAGAGGTCTATGTGTGTTTTATAGACTAAAATGAACAGCTTATCCTCTCATGCAGATAATAGAATTTGAGTGCCAATATTTAAAGTGGTAATAATCAGACAGTTTTGGTCTTATAATTGAACAGTCATAAGGTATGTTTGAATTGACTTGAGATCTTCAGGGTTGAGGTAAGGTGAGAGGGTCGAGAGAGCAAGGGGAAGGTGAATACGGATTTAGGAAAATATCTATATGGGTGTTATTCAAGTTAGTGTTTACTATCAAATATGAATGAATTGTGAATTGTCTCTTTTTCGGTCTCTCTCGCTCTCTCCTCTCTCTCTCTCTCACTCACTCACTCACTCACTCACTCACTCTCTCACTCACTGTCTCTCACTCTCAGAATCAATACCGTTCAGATCTGAACTGGATGAAGGGAGTTGGCTGGGAGGCTGATGGATGTCTGAATGTGACCCAAGCCAAGAAGGCTGGAGAGCTTCTCAGTGATGTCAGTATAATAGGGTAGAGAATGTGTATATTATTATATTTATTATTTTGTTTCTTTAGTGTTGACTCCTCATTTTATTTCCTCTCACAGAAGAAGTACCGTCAGAATGTGGAGAACGTCAAGTTCACCCAGGTGGCAGATACTCCCTCTATCAAACACGCCAAGAAGAGCCAGGAGCTGCAGAGCAAGGTGAGGCTGGCTGTTCATTTGCTATAACCCTGTCCTGCTCATTTCTCATTGGCTGTATTCAGTCAGCTGGTGTTTGATTGGCTGTTTCTCCCTTCAGCTAACGTATAAGGCGGGCAACGAGCAGATGATGCACCAGTACACCATGGATAAAGATGAGCCACTCTTCAGGCAGGCCAAAGCCAATGCAGACCTCCTCAGTGGGGTAAGGACTCTGGCAGACAGGCAGACAGTACAAGCTCTGATTGACCAGAGCTGTGTTCGAATACCCATACTAACATAGTGTATACTACATATTTAATGAGTATATACTACATACTATAAGTTAATTTTAGTATACTGAAAACAAACGGTATCCTTTCAGTTGAGCGTACTAGTGCTTCCCCTGTCTACCTGAAGTTGATGCTGTTGCTACGCAACCTCTTGCTAGCTTGTTAGCATAACAAAAGACTAGCTAGACATTTTACGATTTCGGTTGTGTTCGTAAATTCAATCTGTAGTGCCAGAGTGCGCTCAGAGTGCGCTCTGGGCGTTCGTAAATCAAGAGCGTTGTCAGATTGTCCATTCGTAAATTCAGAGCGTTTCGCTCTTGGAGCGCGTAACTGGACGCTCTGGCCAAGGAGAAGGGTTGATCCGAGCGTTCTGACCTCACAACGGAGTCAAGCACCCAAGCTAACTGGCTAACGTTGGCTAGCTTGCTAGCTATTTCCAGACACAAATGAGAGAACACCTCACTCTGACCATTTTACTTGCCCTAGCAGAGCTGGTTAGGCTGTTTATGTTATCCAGAGTGTTGGTGACTGTAACTGTGCTTCTGGCAGCAATTTTTTAATATTTGTTTTTGCAGATGTTTACTGACACTGGCCATATATTCAAAGGGTGTTGAGCGATCGTAAATTCATCAGTTAGTCTGCGCTCTGGCATACTCAGACGAGAGTGCTCTGAAATCGGAATAGCCAGAATTAACTATGTCCATTGAGAATGCACAACGACTATACCACTTAGCTAAGAATGACATGAATAATCAAGTCAGTAAACGTTGGGTAGTTAGTTAGTTAGATTATATTTAATATACTGCCTGGCAAGTTAAATGTATTAGTAGCCAACTAGCTAACATACCGGTACATACTGCTATAATGCTATGCGGTTCGTAAGGATAGTGTAGCTAACAAATTGTCAGCCAACATAACGTGTAACGTAACTTATTTGAAAAGTCATTACTTTATTACATTGCTCAACATTTTCTTAACATTTGTCATGATTAGTTAAAGCAATGAATTTGTATCCGCTCTCGTCGGACTTCGGCTGCATATTTTCCTCCATTTTCTTCAAATCTGAAAACGTTGTGAAGTCACGCCCATTTTCTGAAGAATTGTATTATGGGCCCTAAAAGCACGGAAATAGTGTCCACTGCTTGTATACGTCGTATTCAGGCGAATTTATTACGACATCCGGGATCTTTTGGCATACTAACTATATCCATACTATGACCAATAAGCATACTACATACTCAATTTACGTCACAAATAGTATGGTTAGTGCGGTTAGTATGAGTATTAGAACACAGCTCAGGGCAATTTACAATTCATGTCTGTCTGTTAACATGTTTCATCATTTGCTCTTGTTCTCATTTCAGAAAGTGTATAAGAGGAGCTGGGAGCAACAGCGAGAGAAGGGCTTTGAGTTGCGCATGGACTCCCTGTCCATCCTCACAGCCAAGGCTAAAAGAGACCTGGCCAGTAACGTGAGTTACCCTCTTTATGTATTTATGAACCTTTATTTGACCAGGTACCAGGCATAGCACTACGCTAAGTATCTCTGTGACTCACTGAAATGCATTGATACAAGAAGAGCAGCAACATTATCACAAATGCTAATTTTAAGTAGATCCTTATAAAGGATGTGGTCGGTCAAAACACCAATCAGAAAGGGTATGGTAGGCAGGGATTAGTCCCAGAAGTTAGTGTTAGGGGTGGGGCTAAATGTCATTTTAAAGGATCTCTTCTAACGGCCACTAATGAGAAATCTCTGACTGGCCAGGTGAAATACAAGGAGAAGTACGAGCAGGCTAAGGGGAAGATGATCGGGGTGAAGACGGTCACTGACGACTCTCAGATGGCCCACTCGGCTCTGGCCACCCGGCTGCAGAGTGATCGCCATTACAGAAAGGAGTACGAGGACACTAAGACCAAGCATAGTGCCTCTTTGGACATGTTGACCCTGACCCACGCCAAGAAGGCCCAGGATCTGGCAACCGAGACCAACTACAGGACCTTCCTGCACAAGTACACAACCCTGCCCGGCGACATGAAGGTGGCCTGGGCCAAGAAGGCCTACGGACTACTGAGTGATGTAAGTTTTACCTGCTGGAACCACATTTCCCAGCATTCTCAATCATGTAAGTCACATGCTGTCACAGCCTATCGGAGTAATAGTAAATATAAAATCAGAAAAACGCTCATGCCAGCTTCCAAGTCGTAAATACAAATCCATCAAAAGTCTGATCCCTGACTTTCCCTATATGCTGAACGCTGACGTCACCTACTACCATGGAAATTACTTTGATGACAGCATTTTTGGGCAGTTAAATACAACAAAACATGTTTTATTTTTTTTTACAATCTATTTATGTTTTTTTAACACTATAATTTGATTGCGAGCCGCGTGATAGCTGTATTTGTAGTTTATGTTTGCTGTAGCTAGTTAGTCGTTAGTGTTCTCAACGAGTTCGAAGCAAGTGAACACTCCCAAGTTGTTGCTCCAAGTTGACAATCGTTCCTCTGATAACTCCGTTATGAATGCAGCATCAGAACAACTAAAGCACCAGGAAAGTCTGCTGGCATTTTTCTCCTTTACCCTAAATACACATATCATTATATCATAGACATTGAAGGTTATTTGCATATGGAAATGTTACAGATGGAATGCACCTTTTAATGGAATTGTATTTCATGTATTAATTAACTTAGCATGTGTTTAACCAGGCAAGTCAGTTAAGAACAAATTAGTATTTAAAATGACGAACTGGCATGAGAGCTGTTCCTTTTTTGTGTATTCAGAAACAGTACAGGTCGGATCGGAACTGGATGAAGGGTGTGGGCTGGGTGGCAGCAGATTTCCTGTGTGTGAAACACGCAAAGAAGGCTGGAGAGCTCGTTAGCGAGGTAACATTTAAATCCTTAACCTAGAAAAGAATGCTCAATATTAGGTCAATGAGGTCTTCGTTCACTGCTGGAAATACTAAGTTGCACCAAACTAAAACACTTGATATACAGGGGAATAGAGAACGTACTGCATGACTGTGTTAAGAATCGCATACTTCCATACTTAAGTAGACTATATATATATATATGACGTTCAGTATATAGAATGCAAGGAAGTATGCTCATTTTAATGGTGGAAAGACCTGGATGCAGTTGTGAAAGTGCAGCATGTATCATTGCATAACAGCTACTACAGGGTGGTGGTACAGATATACACTACCGGTCAAATGTTTTAGAACACCTACTCATTCAAGAGTTTTTCTTTATTTTTTACTATTTTCAACATTGTAGAATCATAGTGAAGACATCAAAACTATGAGATAACACATGGAATCAAGTAGTACCCAAAAAAGTTTTTTATATTTCAGATTCTTCAAAGCAGGCACTCTTTGCCTTGATGACAGTTTTGCACACTCTTGGCATTCTCTCAACCAGCTTCACCTGGAATGCTTTTCCAACAGTCTTGAAGGAGTTCCCACATATGCTGAGCACTTGCTTTTCCTTCACTCTACGGTCCGACTCATCCCAAACCATCTCAATTTGGTTGAGGTCAGGGGATTGTGGAGGCCAGGTCATCTGATGCAGCACTCCATCACCCTCCTTCTTGGTAAATTAGCCCTTACACAGCCTGGAAGTGTGTTGGGTCATTGTCCTGTTGAAAAACAAATGATAGTCCCACTAAGCCCAAAACAGATGGGATGGTGTATCGCTGCAGAATGCTGTGGTAGCCATACTGGTTAAGTGTGCCTTGAATTCTAAATAAATCACAGACAGTGTCACCAGCAAAGCACACCCACACCATCACACCACCTCCTCCATGCTTTACGGTTGGAAATACACATGCAGAGATCATCCGTTCACCCACACCGCATCTCACAAAGACACGGCGGTTGGAACCAAAAATCTCAAATTTGGACTCCACCGGTCTAATGTCCATTGCTCGTGTTTCTTGGCCCAAGCAAGTCTCTTCTTATTGGTGTCCTTTAGTAGTGGTTTCTTTGGAGCAATTCGACCATGAAGGCCTGATTCACACAGTCTCCTCTGAACAGTTGATGTTGAGATGTGTCTGTTACTTGAACTCTGTGAAGCATTTATTTGGGCTGCAATTTCTGAGGCTGGTAACTCTAATGAACTTATCCTCTGCAGCAGAGGTAACTCTGGGTGTTCCATTCCTGTGGCGGTCCTCATGAGAGCCAGTTTCATCATAGCGCTTGATGGTTTTTGCGACTGCACTTGAAGAAACTTCTTGAAATTTCCCGTATTGACTGACCTTAATGTCTTAAAGTAATGATGGACTGTTGTTTCTCTTTGTTTATTTGAGCTGTTCTAGCCATAATATGGACTTGGTATTTTACCAAATAGGGCTATCTTTTGTATACCCCCCTACCTTGTCACAACACAACTGATTGTCTCAAACACATTAAGAAGGAAAGAAATTCCACAAATTAACTTTTAAGAAGGCACACCTGTTAATTGAAATGCATTCCAGGTGACTACCTCATGAAGCTGGTTGAGAGAATGCCAAGAGTGTGCAAACCTTGCAAATAGCATTACTGGGAGATCTGAAAAGTCATAGTCAATCGATCAATAATATAATAATACTAGCAAAAATGTTTATTTTCAATTCACAATCTGTAGAAACAATGAGAATAGAAAGGTTCAGAGCTTTTGTAAAAAATCACAGTACAGTTGAAAAATATATGGCAAATAGAAATCCTATATGGATGGAGTTGAAGGATGGGACTAATAACAACTAACAACAAATAATAACAAGATAACTAATAGTGTAGGCACGCTGTGTCCATAATAAGTGTATGGCATATAGAAGCAAGCCGGATGGACATCATCATGATGATTGGAGAGGTTGAGAGTAGAAGAAGTTCAGGAGAAAAAACTAACAAAATATAATTATTGTAAAATTGACTGTGTCCATAAAATGTATATAGTAAGTATAAGCTGGAAGTAGAGGCCTAAGCATTGTTGTTCACTAGTTTACTCCAAGTAGGGAAAGGGTGGTGGGGTTGGAAAGTAATAAAGGGGAACATATATATTTTTTAAAGGATGTGTATGTGTATGTATGAATATGTGTATATGTGTATGTGTGTGTATATATATATATATATATATATATATATATATATATATATATATATATATATATATATATATTTATTATAAACATGGGGGATTGGAAGTGATGCAGACAATTACATTGATGGAAGTTACAATCTATCTGCAATATTAAGCTGATCTACTCCCTTAAAAAAACAAAACAAAGCTGTCATCAAGGCAAAGGGTGGCTATTTGAAGAATCTATACTGAGACTGATAAGGGGATATGTCCCAGGTGTGTGTGAAAAACAAGACAAAACAAATGGAATGATGAAAAGAGGAGCGGCAGTGGCTAGACGGCCGGTGACGACAAACACCGAAGCCAGCCCGAACAAGGAGATGAGGCAGCTTCGGAGGGAGTCGTGACACTAGCTCTTATTTGCTTTAACGTCTTTTATTTTATTGTTTTACTGTAAAGTGTGTTTAGATTTTAAATGCATTTTTAATCAAGTTTGATTTAATTTAATTTACTCTTCATTTCACATACTGTGCTTCATCTGTGTTGTTTTCCAGAAAAAGTACCGTCAACATGTCAGCGATCTGAAGTTCACCAGCGTGGAGGACACTCCCGAGATGGTCCAGGCCAAACTCAGCAACAAACTGGCCCTAGACGTAAGCCCACCAGTCATCTATACATAGGGGCTAAAAAGCGACACTACTTAAACTCTGGGCGGTTGCTTTGGACCCGATAACCCATGTGCACTAACTCCGTCTATTACGGTCAAAAATTTAAATAAATGACATACCATTCAAAAGCTACAGCGATTTCCTTTTTGGATTCGAACTCAAATCTTACTGCTGGCAACGCCATAAGCATGCATCCCCACCCCCCCCTCCCCCCACAGGCTATTTATCATGCATTATGAATATGATCAATGAGGTCAAGTGCTGCAAAAATGCAAAACATTTGTATCTATGGAAAGGGTACACCCTGGTGGTCATCTTAAGGCAATGCATTTCTTTATCCATTGAGATGACATCACTTACCTTGTAAATAGTTGGAATTTTCCTCGCCTGTCTGTGTTAGTTATTATTTAAACAAACTCAATAACTCACAAGCCCTGATCACTAGGGCCGTTTTAAAATGTCACCCGTCAAAATCCATTACGACAATTGTCCACCTGTGTGTGTATTACCCAACTAGAATAATCTGGTTATTCATACCCCTTGACTTTTTCCATATTTTGTTGTGTTACAGCCTGAATTTAAAATTGATTACATTTAGATTTTGTTTGTCACTGGCCTACACACAATACCCCATAATGTCAAAGTGGAATCATGTTTTTTTTATTTTTATGTCATATCAACAGGGGATATATCTTTCATATTGAGGTGATGCCTTGCACATACAATACAATTTATAGGAGCCTACATGTTGAAGCCATCTAGAACTATTTGTACTGCAAACACAGCAAACATATTTAGCAAAACAGGATGCATACTACTGTTGCTATTATTAGTTACTGTATCCTATTTAATAAACAGTATCCATCCACAGTGGACTAGGACAAGAATATTCTGTGCCCTCCAGCCGAATTGGGAGTTGATGATAACTCAACGACCGTCAATAGCATACACAACTTGAGACAACCGCATGCAGAATTAAGCCATGGAAAAACGTTGATTGGCCAGTGAGTGGTCAAGCCCTCATCACACCTACAACTTATTTATTTATCAAAACCATCTTGCGCTACCTGCTGTGAAAATAGCAACAACAAAGAAATATAGCCCTGAACATGTCATTTCTCTCAGACCAGAAAAGGTATAATTCATTGTAGGACTGTAGAATGGTTTTGTGATCGCAACGAGGTTGACCTGATGTGATCCTCTTGCTTTTCAGAGGCTGTACAGGGAAAAGGGGGAACATGTGAAGCACAACTACACACTCTCCGGAGATCTGCCTGAACACGTGCAGGCCAAGCTCAATGCCATGAACATCAGTGAGGTCAGGGCTCTAATAGAGTGCTGCCTATTCATCCATCCATTGATCCATTCATTTACCCATTCATCTCTCACTTGGTTTCGCCGAGAAGTCAAGCAAATGTGGATTGTTTTGTTCTGATTACTTATCATTGGCTCCATTTGTGCCGGTAGTTTACAGACTGAATTGTTTGTGTTGGCAGACCCGCTATAAGGAGTCGTGGACTAAAATCAGAGATGGTGGCTACAAGCTCCGTTTGGATGCCATTCCCTTCCAGTCAGCCAAAGCATCTGGGAACATACTTAGTGGCGTGAGTCTTCTTTTACATCATATATAATGGTATTATATTGCATATAAAGAAAGACCATGAAAAACAATATTTTCATGAATTAAACATGCTGTATGTATTTTACAGTGCATTCGGAAAATATTCAGACCCTTTCACTTTTTCCACATTGTTACTTTACAGCCTTATTCTAAAATGGATTAAATAAATGTTTTCCCTCATCAATCTACACACAATACCCCATAATGGTAAAGCGAAAACAGGTTACTTATTTACATAAGTATTCAGACCTTTTGCTATGAGACTCGAAATTGAGCTCTGGTGCATCCTGTAGAAAGCTCTTGTGCATCCTGTAGAATTGTCTGTAGAGCTCCGAGACAGGATTGTGTCGAGGCATAGATCTGGGGAAGGGTACCAAAAAACTTCTGCAGCATTGAAGGTCCCCAAGAACACAATGGCCTCCATTATTCTTAAATCGAAGAAGTTTGGAACCACCAAGACTCTTCCTAGAGCTGGCCACCTGGCCAAACTGAGCAATCGGGGGAGAAGGGCCTTGGTCAGGGAGATGACCAAGAACCTGATGGTAACTCTGACAGAGCTCCAGAGTTCCTCTGTGGAGATGGGAGAACCTTCCAGCAGGACAGCCATCTCTGCAGCACTCCACCAAGTCAGGCCTTTATGGTAGAGTGGCCAGACGGAAGACACTCCTCAGTAAAAGGCACATGACAGCCCGCTTGGAGTTTGCCAAAAGGCACCTAAAGGACTCTCAGACCATGAGAAACAAGATTATCTGGTCTGATGAAACCAAGATTGAACTATTTGGCCTGAATGCCAAGCTTCAAGTCTGGTGGTGGCAGCATCATGCTGTGGGGATATTTTTCAGCGGCAGGCACTGGGAGACTAGTCAGGATCGAGGGAATAATGAATGGAGCAAAGTACAGAGAGATCGTTGATGAAAACCTGCTCCAGAGCGCTTAGGACCTCAGACTGGGGCGAAGGTTCACCTTCCAACAGGACAACGACCCTAAGCACACAGCCAAGACAACACAGGAGTGGCTTCGGGAAAAGTCTCTGAATGTCCTTAAGTGGCCCAGCCAGAGCCCAAACTTGAAATTCGATCGAACATCTCTGGAGAGACCTGAAAATAGCTGTGCATCCAACCTGACACAGCTTGAGAGGATCTGCAGAGAAGAATGGGAGAAACTCCCCAAATACAGGTGTGTCAAGCTTGTAGCATCATACCCAAGAAGACTCGAGGCTGTAATCGCTGCCAAAGATGCTTCAACAAAGTACTGAGTAAAGGGTCTGAATACTTTTGGGTAAAATAATACATGCATCAACAAGATGTGCATTTGATTCCAGACTATATAATTTAAAAGCATTATTTAAACACGTATTTCCAAAGTGATCCTCTCGGCGAAACATCTGAACATTCAGTACATAACACATACTGTACGTATATGGAACATTTGTTATAGCACAAGTACAAGGAGCAGTTTGAGAAGACCAAGGGGCATATGATCGGACTGAAGGGACTGGAGGACGACATGAACATGTCTCACTCTGTGAATGCCAGCAAACTGCAGAGTGACGTGAGTACCAGCTCAACATGAGCAATGGGTTTGTATGAGAGTAATATGGGAGTATAGGGTGTAGTATGAAAGGGAGTGATCGGAGTGTAGATTAATACACTTCACACCGTAAGGCAGTGTTTCTCAACCAATTCCTGGTGGAAACCCCCAGGGGTGTGTTCTAGCCCAGCAACAATCCATCTGATTAAACTTTTACCAAGCCCTTGATTAATTGAATCAGGTGTGTTTGTGTTGGTCTAGAGACAAAATGTGCACACCCTGATGCTCAATCACAAATGGATTGAAAAAGACTGCAAAACGTTAAATGTTGAGTGTATTGAAATGGTGTAGTGCGAGTGCTGAATGGGGACATGCACTGTTAGAGTATACAGTGTTATCGAATTGTATTCTCTCTCCCTCTCTCTTTCTCTCTCTCATTTTGCAGATCAAGTATAAGCAGGACTCTGTGAATAAGCGCTCTCAGTACCACCTTTCTATGGACATGTTGGAGGTGGCCCATGCTAAAAAAGCCCAGGCCCTGGCCAGTGAGCAGGACTACCGGCTTACACTCCACCAGTACACCAGTCTGCCTGATGACATGAAGGTGCAGGCCGCTAAGAGAGCCTACCAACTACAGAGCGAGGTAACAACATCCCCTCACCAGGGGTGTATTCACTAGGAACCAAATGGCCGAAACTGGTAGGGACCTGAATTTGTCCAATAAGAAACTCTTGTTCTCATTGAAAAACGTTATGCTATGGTTTTCTACAGTGTACTCCAATGAATACAACCCAGCTTACCAGTAACTTTCTCCCACTGTAGATGCTATTTGCGCAGTTAATCATATTTTGATATAGAATTAAAATATAAAAAACTTTTATCATGTCAGAACGTTTCTAGAACAATAAGACAGTCAAATAAAAGATATTCCCAACAGTTTTCAAAGAACATTCAAAGCACATTGAAAACTCTTTTGTGTACTGTGTTCGATAGTTTGTTAGATAGCAGTGCACTACCTTGAGTATTAAACCGATCATTTTGTTTGTGTGTGCGTGTGTGCACGCTTGCGTGTGTGTGCATGCATGTGGCCCTTAGAAAGTGTACCGCTCTGACCTGAACTACCTGCGTGGTGTAGCCTGGATCAGCACCGGGGCCATCCAGATGGAGGGCTCCAAGAGGGCCACAGACCTTATCAGTGAGGTGAGTCAAACTCCACTCCTCTCTAGCTCCGTCTCTTGGGGTTACGATCCACTTACTCTGTCCTTAGCTGCCACCCAGGGGATACTTGGTCCAGAATTAAATCAAAGGCGAGTACGCGACAAGCGCATTGTACTTGACTCCGCAGAGCTTACCATGAATGCGATAGTGCCTTTAAAAGGTGCATTGTCAGTACCATTTAGGAAACTGCTCTAGCCCTCTGACCATCTTTCAAATGAGAGTCTAAGCTGAGGTCCTGACTCTCTGTGGTCACTAAATATACCATTGGACTTATTGTTTAAGTATAGTATGTTAACCATAGAAATAGAATGTTGAAATGTATACGTAAATGTATGCAGTGCAAACATGACTGAAAGTTGATTTGGATAAAAGTGTCTGCTAAATGGCATTTATTATTATTATTATTATTAGATATTAAATTGTTTCACCATCACAGACTCTAGGCTTTTTCAGCTGGCGCTAAGGCAGTGCTCTTGTCAAACGCATGTTAGTTGGCAATTTTGGCATGTAACAACTGGCACTCTGGCATATCCCACCACTTGCACCAGGTTCGGCAATTTACCTGTCTAGCATCATCTCGCTTTCGCTGAGATGAGAAGGGTGGCAATATTTGAGGTGTGTCCTTAAAAACAAGTGCAAAATTGACCCATCGAAAGCAGGTCCTAGCGGTAACACGGTTGGTAATGGCATGGATTTTTAGAGTGGAAGCGCAGCCTATCCAGCCGTGAAGCACAGTGCACATATGCTCATGGAACACTTGAGTCATTATTGTGCGCTCTAGAAAACAACATATACTTTGTATTACCCACATTCAATACTTATAAGAGTTTTCTGCAGAACAATGAAAGCAGACTGTAGTTCAGTCTGGGGGGGCCTCCCGAGTGGCGCAGCGGTCTAAGGCACTGCATCGCAGTGCTAGAGGCGTCACTACAGACCCGGGTTCGATCCCGGGCTGTATCACAACCGTCCGTGATCGGGAGTCCCATAGGGCGGCGCACAATTGGCCCAGCGTCGTCCGGGTTAGGGGAGGACTTGGCCGGGGGGCTTTACTTGGCTCATCGCGCTCTAGCGACTCCTTGTGGTGGGCCGGGCTCCTGCAGGCTGACCTCGATCGTCATTTGAACTGTGTTTCCTCCGACACATTGCTGCGGCTGGGTTAAGCGGGCGGGTGTTAAGAAGCACGGTTTGTCGGGTCATGTTTCGGAGGACGCATGACTCGACCTTCGCCTCCAGAGCCTGTTGGGGAGCTGCAGCGATGAGACAAGATCGAAATCGGGGAGAGAAAAAAAAATATATATAATAAAAAATTTATCACATTTGGCAGTAGCAAAACAGTGAGCAGACAGCCCATGTTTTATGTGCGTAAAACCCCCTCCATGTACATGTCCATATGCCCATCATGGAAAAACTTGTGTTCATAGATTTATTTGTATGTGGCTGTCAGTGTCACCAGCTGGCAGTCTGAAGGACAAATGTGGGCTGTTTTTTATGGGTTGGGCTAGGCCCCTTAGTTCCAGTGAAGGGAAATCTTAACGCTACAGCATACAATGACATTCTAGACGATTCTGTGCTTCCAACATTGTCGCAACAGTTTGGGGAAGGCCCTTTACTGTTTCAGCATGACAATGCCCCAGTGCAGAAAGCGAGGTTCATACAAAAATGGTTTGTCGAGATCAGTGTGGAAGAACTTAACTGGCATGCACAGAACCCTGACCTCAACCCCAACGAACACCTTTGGGATGAATTGGAACGCCGACTGCGAGCCAGGCCTAATCGCCCAACATCAGTGCCCGACCTCACTAATGCTCTTGTGGCTGAATGGAAGCAAGTCCCCTCAACAATGTTCCAACAGCTAGTGGAAAGCCTTCCCAGAAGAGTGGAGGCTGTTATAGCAGCAAAGGGGGGACCAACTCCATATTAATGCCCATGATTTTGGAATGAGATGTTCGACAAGCAGGTGTCCACATGTAGTGTATGTGTCCACATGATAAAGCATGTTTAATGTATCAAAAAAGTAAATCATTCATTTTTGAGCAAATTACTTTTGCTTTGTAGGGCAGAGTAGGCTACCCTACTATAATGAAGTCTGGTTCAACAGCAATGGGTTGTTGCGTCTTTTTAATCTTGGCTATTGAGAATAAGCCTGGCACATACAATAATATTTATAGGAGCATAATATTATTTATTCAGTGATTGTGATGCGTAAAAATATTTAGGCCTATATGTTGAAGCCAACTAGAACAAGGTGGACTGCAAACACACCAAACATACAGTATTTAGCTAAACTGGATGCATTCTACTGTTGCTATTATTTGTTACTCTATGCTATTTAATAAATGGTATCAATCCACAATGGACTAGGATGAGAATATTCTGTGCCCTCCAGACGAATTGGAGTTGATGAAAACGCAAAGACCATCAATAGCATACACAACTTGAGACAACTTGATGCAGTATTTAGCCATGGCGAACGTTGATTGGCCAGTGAGTGGTCAAGCCCTATTCACATCTACAACTTATTTATTCATCAGAACCCAGCCCTTTCGCGCAACGGGCAGCTATTGCGCTCATGATTCCGCTGTGAAAATAGCTAAAGTATTTCTGACACACCCACAACTCAACAGCGCCATGCGGCTGCGCTAAGATTGACCATTGCGTTGGGTTTGTTCAAATACAGCCCTCTGTTTATTTATTAGTGTGCTTGCTGAAGGCAATTTCTTGCAGAGAGAAAGAAAATAGAGAAATAATAGAAAAGTAATAACAAAAGTAATACTAAATACACAATGAGTAACGATAACTTGGCTATATACACAGAGTACCAGTACCGAGTCGATGTGCAGGGGTATGAGGTAATTGAAGTAGATATGTACAGTACCAGTCAAACGTTTGGACACACCTACTCATTCAAGGGTTTTTATTTATTTCTACTATTTTTCACATTGTAGAATAATAGTGAAGACATCAAAACTACGAAATAACACCTATGGAATTTTGTAGTAAGCTTTGCACACGCTTGGCATTCTCTCAACCAGCTTCACCTGGAATGCTTTTCTAACAGTCTTGAAGGAGTTCCCACGTATGCTGAGCACTTGTTGGCTGCTTTTCCTTCACTCTGCGGTCCAACTCATCCCAAACCATCTCAATTGGTTGAGGTCGGGTGATTGTGGTGGCCAAGTCATCTGATGCAGCACTCCATCATGCTCCTTGGTAAAATAGCCGTTACACAGCCTGGAGGTTTGTTGGGTCATTATCCTGTTGAAAAACAAATGATAGTCCCACTAAGCGCAAACCAGATGGGATGGCGTATCGCTGCAGAATGCTGAGGTAGCCATGCTGGTTAAGTGTGCCTTGAATTCTAAATAAATCACAGACAGTGTCACCAGCAAAGCACCCCCACACCATAACAGCTGTGATAGGTGATTTGAAGGAGTCAGGCGCAGGAGGGTAAATCACAGAATACAGAGTTTATTCCGTAGCACAGAGTTACGCTGGATAGCGTCAAACAGTGCAGTGCGCAAAACAGGCGCACTGGAACAAAACAAGCACAGGGAAAATATACCCCGGCAATACAAAATACACGTAGCTCAACCGAGCTACTCTCTCCTCACAATAACCAATCACCCACAAGGACAAGGGGGGCAGAGGGAACACTTATACATGTACTTATGAGGGGATATGAACCAGGTGTGTGTAATAGACAAGACAAAACAAATGGAATGATGAGATATGGAGCAGCAGTGGCTAGAAGGCCGGTGAGGACGAACGCCGAAGCCTGCCCGAACAAGGAGAGGAGGCAGCTTCGGAGGAAGTCGTGACAGTACCCCCCCCATTGACACGCAGCTCCAGCAGGGCGCTGACACCGGCCTCGGTGACGGCCAGGAGGACGCGGAGCAGGGCGAGCCGGATGGCGATGGTGGAAATCCCGCAACAGGGAGGGATCGAGGATATCCCTCACCGGGACCCAGCACCAGTCCTCCAGACCGTACCCCTACCACTCCACGAGGTACTGAAGGCGGAGTATGCCGGGGTCCCCTCGATGTCCAGAGGAGGCAGAGGGACCTTCCGCACCACCGGCCTGAGGAGAGACACATGAAACTAGGGGTTAATACGATAATCATGGGGGAGTAATAACCTATAGTTAACCTCGTTGATCCTCCTCAGGACTTTGAACGGCCCCACAAACCGCGGGCTCAGCTTCCGGCAGGGCAGGCGGAGGGGCAGATTCCGGTTCGAGAGCCAGACCCGATCACCCGGTATGAAGACCGGGGCCTCACTGCGGTGGCGGTCAGCGTTGGCCTTCTGAGGTTGGAGATGGTAGTGAGCAGTGTCCTACGTCTCCTTTGTGCACCGAAACCAGTCATCCACCGCAGGAGCCTCGGTCTGACTCTGGTGTCACGGTGCCAGAACCAGTTGGTAACCTAAAACACATTGGAATGGCGTTAGGTTAGTGGAGTAGTGACGGAGAGAGTTCTGGGCATATTCGGCCCCGGCCGGTCCTGGCAGTAGGACCACAGGAACCTACCCACATCCTGATTTACCCGTTCCACCTGCCCATTAGACTCGGGGTGGAAACCAGAGGTCAGGCTGATTGAGACCCCCAGACGATCCATGAACACCATCCAGACCTTGGATGTGAACTGGGGACCCCGGTCAGACACTATATCCTCTGGTACCCCGTAGTGCTGGAAGACGTGTGTAAACAGGGCCTCCGCAGTCTGCAGGGCCATGGGGAGACCGGGCAGAGGAAGGAGGCGGCAGTCCTTGGAAAAATGGTCCACAACGACCAGGATGGTGGTGTTACCTTGAGAGAGGGGAAGATCAGTAAGGAAATCTATACTAAGGTGAGACCATGGTCGTTGTGGAACTGGTAAGGGCTGTAACTTACCCGCTGGGAGGTGCCTAGGTGCCTTACTCTGGGCGCACACCGAGCAGGAGGAGACATGCACCCTCACGTCCTTAGCCAAGGTAGGCCACCAGTA